TGGGGTTTATTAAATGTTTATGGACCTTTTATGCTTGCTTTAAAAGAACATTTTCTTAATGATTTACATTCTGTAATTAATTCACGTTCTTATCCTGTGGTAGATGAGACTGATTTTAATTTGATTCGATGGCCTGAGGAATGTCTAGCTAGAACCCCTATAAATGCTTTGATGAAGTTGTTTAACAGGTTTATTAAAAATAATTCTTTGGTGGATCTCCCTATTATTGGCTCCAAGTTTACTTGGTTCAATAATAGTCTTATAATTTAGCTATGTCTAAATTAGATAGAATTCTGGTGTCGACAGAATGGTTGGAAGAGTTCCCTTTGCTTCAGTCAAAGCATTGCCTAGAGTATCTTCGGATCACTGTCGTTTATTACTGTCTTCTGGTATTCTGAATGAGGGCCGAAACCTTTTAGATTGGATGTGGGATGGTTGATGGAGATAGAGGTGGTTGTGCTGATTAAAGGAGTTTGAGTCAATACCATTATGGAGGGAACAATGGATTTTCAGTTACATAAAAATCTATTAAATATCAAACATAAATTGATTCAATGGAAGAGAGAGAATATGTTTGATATTAAAGCAAAGATGAATGGTGTTCTTGTTGAGATAGAATCGTTAGATGGACATGTTCAATCAAGTGGCTTGTTGTCAGAACAATTGATTATTGAGAGGGGACTGAAGGTTAAACAGTTTGACAATCTTCGTAGATCAGAGGAAGTTTATTGGAAACAAAGGTCCAGATCGAAGTGGCTTAAGGAAGGGGACCTAAGCACCAAATTTTTCCATGCTATTGCCAGTGTCAAAAGAAGACAAAATGATATCTCTGGGTTGTTTATCCCTGGGATAGTTTCGGAAAATGTAGATGCACTACAAGGGGTTGTCATTAGTCATTCAAGAAAGCTTTTACCAAAGAAATCACTCTTTTACCATCATTTAACAGAGTCCCTTGTAAAGTACTCTCGGTAGAATCCATGATTTTCTTGGAAGGGGATATCTCCATGGAAGAATTACGAAAGGCGGTTGTTGCTTTACTTGGGGATAAAGCTCCAGGCCTTGATAGCTTTCCTTTAGCTTTCTTCCATAGATTTTGGGAGCTGATTAAAGGTGAAGTATTGGAATTTTTTAGGAGTTTCTTCATCATAGGGGATAATTTTAAAGGGCTAAACTCTACCTTTCTTGCTCGAATTCCGAAGAAGTATTCGATTGCTAGCTTGTCGGATATCCGCCCTATTAGCCTTTTAACCAGTCTTTATAAAATCATAGCAAAAGTGTTGGCAGAGCATTTGAAAAGTGTCTTACCTTACCTTATCTCTAATACCCAATCTGTCTATATCAAGGACCGTCAGATTACAGATAGTGTTTTGATCTCACAAGAATGTATCCACTCGAGAGTTCAAAGCAATAAGCATGGTATCTTACTTAAATTAGATATGGAGAAAGCTTATGATAGAGTGGAGCGGTGGATACTGCTAGAAATCTTGAAATGTATGGGGTTTGGTGACAGATGAAGGAGTTGGATGGTTGGATGTCTTTCTTCTGCTCATATCTCGGTGTTTTTCAAGGATAGTTTGATTGGTTTTTTTCAAGCTTCTAGAGGTCTTCACCAAAGGGATCCACTCTCTCCTTTCCTATTCACTATTTATGCTGAATGTTTTAGCCTAATGCTAAGCAATGTGGAGAGGGTGGGGCATTTTTTGGGGTTCTCGATTGCTAATTCAGGTATAGTGACTTCACATCTACAATATGCGGATAATATTCTTATTTTCTGTAATGCAGATCTCCTATAAATTAAGAACATTACATTATTCCTTGAAATCTGTGAGGTTACTATTGGTTTCAAGGTGAATTTTCATAAATCCTCCCTGGTAGGCATTAATTTCCATAAATCCTCCTTAGTAGGCATTAATTGCCTTGAGTCTATGATAGAGTCTTTGACTACAGTGTTGGGCTATAATGTTGGCTCCTTTCCCATTGTCTATCTCCGCTTACCAATTTCAAATTCTAGACTTCCTTTAACAGTCTGGGATAGAGTGCTTAAAAGAGTTCAATGCAAGTTGGATTTATGAAAACCTAATTACTTATCTCTTGGTGGAAGGGTGACACTTGTAAGATTTTGTTTGGCTAATCTTCCAGTTTATCAGATATCCTTGATTAATATGCCTGCCTCGGTCGCAAAAAAGATCGAGAAGATAATGAGGGACTTCCTTTGGGGTTCCACTAGGGAGCAGAGGAAATTTCATTTGATTAGATGAGAGAGAGCGTGTACCCCAAGAAGGAACGGGGGCTGGGCATTAGAAGTATTAGACTGGTTAATCAAGCTTTTATGTGTAAATGGTGGTGGAGAAGCCTAAATTTGAAAGAGCAGTTGTGGTTCCAAATCCGTTTGGTTAAATATGGGTTGGATAGGTTGGGAGTTTGGCTAGGGACTAGTCGAAGAGGGGCTACCCCCCATATATGGAGGAATATTGTATTATGCAGGCTTATGATTGCTGGTTGCTTTAGATGGTCTGTAGGGTGTGGCAACCAAATATCCTTTTGGCATCACAAGCGGGTGGGGGAGTATCTTCTTAAGTCCCTCTTCCCGGAATTATTTCATATTAATTCAAGATCAAATATCATGGTCTATAAAGTGATTGAGAGAAGAGGTGATTCCGTCTCGTGGAATATTCCTTTGCCCTATGCGAGACTAAATGACATACTCTTTGCCCAATGGTGCCAATGGTGTACGTTAATGGAATTACTTGAAACAATCTACGTTTTTGCAGAGGCGAAGGACCAAATGGTACAGGGGAGTGAGAGTGATGGCTCGTTCACGGTCAAGTCTTGCTACAATCGTATTTTTCACAATAGATGGAGATGGTCTTGTACTCAGATTGCACAAATCTGGAAATTGCCTATACCCCATAAAGTGCAAGTCTTCAAGTCTCTTTATTTATCAAAGTTTGAAGATTTTTAGAGAGAGAAATTATGGCCTTTTATGCTGGATAGAGGGGGCTTCTCTCTATTGCACCTAGGAGGATTATTTTTCAAGTCCAAAATTTTGGGATCCAATTTACACTCACCAAGTGAGTATATAAAAAATTAAAATTTAAAATTTCATAAAAATTTACACTCACGAAGTGAGTATATAAAAATTTTAAATTTTTAATTTCATAAACAAATAAAGTATCTAGAAATTGGAAATTCACTTTTTGACCCTAGAACCTCTTTCAAACATTATGCAATTATGATTCTTATCATTTTTTCTCCTTATTTGCAGTTGGTTGCTAGGGTAAAGAGGCTACATCAATATGGGATCCTAGAAATACTTGTAGATAAGGTGATGTATCCTAAAGGTACTTGTAGATAAGGTTTTTTGAGGGAATGAATGTCCTAAAAATACTTGAAGATAAGGTTTTTTGAGGGAATGAATGTCCATTGTAGATAGGGTTTTATTGAGGGAATGAAAGTCCATTGTGCTAGTGCAGGAACATATAATCTCTTCATACTTTAGCTAAGCTTAGGTATAGATGATTGCGGGAACACAATCTCTTGATAATTATAGCTAGCTTGGGTATAGATTATTGGAGTAGTTTCAAGCATTTACGGAAACATATAATCTCTTCATACTTTTAGCTAGCTTGTGTATATATTATTGTAGTTTCAAGCGTTTACCAAAGGCAGTAACTATACTCATCCATGATCCAACAATGTTTTAACCTTTTCATCCGAATGAGTGACCCAGATTGCCCACATGAAAATCCAGTCCAGATCGGCATGGATCAACAATCCAGCCATGAGAATGAGCCACTGACAAAATAAAGAAATAGAAACTTAAATAATAATACGTAACAAATGAAACTAGACGAGGAGCTCCCAGACAAAACCGGCCAATTCCCACCATATGGTGGGAACCGGACCAGTCCCACTGATTCCCAAACTAGATCAGGCAGATCTAAACTAGATCAGCATTTTTAAAACCCTGGATAAAGGCAATAAAAACTGACTAAAAAGTATAAGACGCGGAAAGCCTCTGCATTCACAATTCTCACCATAGCAATTGAATAAGCGTCCCACCCAAAATTGAATCACAGAAACGCTGGTTTTAAGCAGTCAAAAAGTTTGGGTGCGGCCTCAGCAACACCTGTAGACACACATCAGCCAAGTTCATAGACCTTTCAGTATCAGAACGAATTATCATTCTCATACCCTCCAGGAGTTTAAAAGAGAGCCCATGAACCACCTCACCAAAGACAAAATCTGATATGAGCCGTCCTTTATGTGAATGGTATATATCAGATTGTATCATCCAGGTCTCTTTAAGACTTTTTGTTGGTGATGGAAAGCAATTTCTACATACTCCCAGAAAATTATGGGTACTCGAGTTATAGAGAAAGATAATATAAGACACCGAACCACATAACGCTCCTGCAACTGTTGCTGACTTATCGAAGAATTCCATCCAACCATTTAGGGGAAAAAAAAATAAAAAGGCAAATTAATGGCAAGTACATTTTGTGCAAGGCAGAAATCTCGAAGAAAATAAGAACCACTATCCTACACCGTTCATTTTAGCCAGACACCAGATGGGGGTAGAAAAACACATTTTTTTAAAGTTACATTCATTTTAGCTGGATATTATAGATCGACACATCTACCAAGAGTGCCAAAATCTATAATACTAAACTAATATGGACAGTGTAAAACTCCTAATCTTACACCTCCAAGTGATTTTGAGGGGTCTTTAAATATGTGCCAAAACTATCCAACTAGGGTGTAAAAACAGCTTTCTCTACATTATCATAATTCATATTATTTAAATAATATAATTAATAATACTATAAGACCCTCCCACATCCATGTGCATAAGATCCGAAAAGATCACTATTAAATTTTGACACAGACTTTTAAAAAAATTATCAATAAACACAATCACCTAAATCTCACACTCATGTGATAACTTTTCTTGAGATATATGTCAAAAATTAATGATGATCCTTTAAGTGCCATTCCTCTTCTGTAAATTATGAAATTGTCTTTATAATCGAGTGAGTCAAACCAGAAAGGCATTCCAGTAGTAAATGATCTCCCTCAACCATTCAAAAGTCAGCATGAAAGCAATAGAACAAAAATACCTCTTACAAAAGAAAACAGCCACAAGAGCTAAAGTTCTCTCTCCCATCTAAAATCCAAAGTCTCCAAAAAAGCAACAAAAGTTGGCTCCTCCAAAGAACGGGGTAAAGAAAGCAAAGGTAAAATGTTTTAGTAAGAATTATTACTCTGATTACCACAAAAAGGTAAAAAGCTCAATCCTCATCCTCCTCGTCTCCGTCTCCTCCAGCAGCCTTCTTGGAAGCAGCCTTCAAGTTCTTTCGCTTCACACGTCCTGGGCGACCACCACCGAGTGGGCTAGTGAGAGAGAAGTCAATGTGTTTTTGAGAGTCCACCCTCACCATGAACGACGGAATGTTCACCACTTGCCTTCCAACCCTTTGAGAAAATCAGAAAAGAATGTGACATAATTAAATATGAATAATGCACAATAAATACCTCCCTCGGAGAGTAAAAACCAAAATGTTGTCCATGTATAATATCCAAAATGGTTTCATAAACACCAGAGAGGTTCCCAGACAAACAACTTTTTTAATTACAGAATTCTTGAGTTTCATTCCTCTGAAGAAGAAATTGACACAAAATTAAGCCCAAAGATTAACTCATACAGAGCATGTACAATCAAAATGAAATTCATGATGTTATAATTGCTGATTTGTAATACAATTAGTTGATAAAAAATTCAATTTTTTGTTTTTTGTATTTCCCTTGGTCATTTTATTTCCAAGGGTTGTTTCTCTAATTATCGACTAAAATTAATCAGAAGAGGCCATGAAGTGGACAGACTGTTCTTTTACCAGGAACACGTGAGTACTTCATCCTCAACTTACATTGCTCCTTCAGCTTCCCTAGCAAATTCATTTTATTATATGCATATTCTAGATGAGGTCATCCCCATATTGAAATACTTTGCATAATTCTACATAACATTCATCTTCTACCCTGATTCGAACTGTATTTTCATTATCTCATTTGAACGTTTGGTTAATGGACGAAATATTCATACTATCCAGACTTTTTCTTTTTGATGCATTACCATTTTCTTCTTTAATGTAAAGATTCAAATTATTTGAACTTTGAAGTATCTTTTTTTTTTTTGGAAGAAAATTTTATAGTTATTCAATTAGATATTATTATATTTATAACTAATTTTATTGAAATGAGGCAAATCACAGATTTATAAGAATACTCAATTAGATATTTGGGCCCCATCAAATATCCCAGTTTTCCATGAATTTCTCAAACCTCTGATTAGTAATAATGATCTTGCGAGACAGATTTTAAGAAATAGCTAGAGTATTCCTTTTATATAAAACGGGAGTCATCTTAAGCTTAATCCCAATAAGAATTTTGAGGATGCATGAAACCTAGTCACCACATTTCACAACATTATTACATTATGCATGCACATGATTATTAAGTAGCTTTCCCTTACAGAGATGTGAATCAATTTACCACATGCTGAATCTAATTCTAGTTTTAGTAAATCAATTTACCACATGCTGAATCTAACTCTAGTCTTACACATCAGAGACAAGTGGTGGGTGAATTGTTATATTTTACCATTATAAAAGGAACTATTCATGCAGATCACATTGTCAGTTTCCAATAGCTCATCAAAACTAACACATTTATCCAGAGTTTCCCAATATTGAAGACACATTGAAAACCCAATGAGAGTATTACTACTCATCAGATATCATAACTTACCTTGATTCATGATGGTTGTTCCAATTCCAAATAGTTGATAATTGGTATCATAGATGTATTGATTCATCACTTGCATCTCAAAAGAGTAAGAAATGTGACAATGTCACTAAACCTATGCCCAGGCTTAGCATAGAGTAATGTCTTGAACTTATTAAGATATTGAGCTTCAAGCACTTCTTAGAGATGCTGAATTTTACATCTATAAAGCTCCTCTTTGTGGACATAGTATTTGCCCAAAAACAGAGTTTTTGTAAGCCAACAGAACATACTGTGATTGGTTGCAAATGATAAGAGGAAAGCTATTGAATAAAATCATCATGCTTCTGCATCTCTACGCGCATGACCAAACATCCAATGTCTTAAAAAAAGGCCAAAATAACTAAATATCGTAATCTTTTAGTCAGCAAATTGACCGCCTTGGTATAATTCATAAAGGCCACATTCCTTTTGACTCCCTTGAAGATAATTCTGGTTAGATTAGGGGACTTTCTATCATTAGTTCATTACAACTAATGAAATAGTGTCTATTCTTAAATCTATAATTGACAAAGTGGACATGCAATTTGCATATCCCAGCATTCTTTTAAAGATAAAAATGCAATTTAAGTTTGAATAACTATGCTAAACTAAACAGATTCCCTTAGGGAATTGACAGCCAGGTGAATCAACTTTTTTGGCCCTCTATAGAAAGCAACACTTCACTTTCTGCAAGGATGGTTGACAGAGAAATTCAAACCCATACAACACATCTGGCACAATCTCTCATCCATCTACAAATCCACAGGTATATCCTTACCCCTTATGTCTATGTCTATAAACTAAAAAATCCAGAGCTATATCTTATATGCCTGTGTACAAAATATTTAGTTTTGTGGTATTATCTGTATTATTCTTTAACAAAATTGTCATACCAACCTTTCTAACTCATCTAAAGAAAATGAAAATACTAACATAAACATAACATCTATTGCGAAGTTTTTGACTCGGGTCATAAAACCAAGTAGCAATACCTGTTCTGGTGTCCAAAAATGGAATTGAACAAGAAAAAAGGGAATTAAGAACTGTGTCTTACAAACAACCCCATCCATGTAAATTCCTCATTTGATCATCCCACTCTCAGTCCAAAACAATCAAGTGTGTCACAACCACTATGGAATTAGAGACAATTATAAACCATCTCACTGAATTTACCATAAGAAACAATTCCATTACATACCAATAAGCAGAAAATCGTCCCATCACTAACCCATTAAACCCACAGAGAGAAAAGAATCTAATAGTAGTTGAGAAAAAAATTGAACTATGAGAGTAAAATTGATTAAAAACATAAGCAAAAAGAACATGAAAAGGCAATGAACCATACTTAACAATCAAATATACCTGATATGCCTTTGTCTGATAAGCACACGAGCATGGTGGATCGACTTGGCCATTCCCGACTTGAAAACAAGGGTTTGGAGGCGGCGCTCAAGGAAATTTTCCACAGTCAAGGCCAACACATAATCGAGCTTGTTCTGGCTCTCATCAAGGAGACCATACCTATTCATCCTGCGAAGGAGGGCTTCTCCCTCGAATATACGCTTTGGATTCTTCTCATCTAGAGTGAGAAGCTCTCTTGCAGCATTCCTGATGCGACTGAGAGCATATTGCACCCTCCATAGCTCTCTCTTGCAACGAAGCCCATACTCTCCTACAAGTTTCAGCTCAGCATCCAAACGTTCCTTCTCATAAGGACGCCTAGGTTTCTTGAAAGTCTTTCCATCTGCCATTAAAATAAAAGCACAGCACAATTTTCAGATCAGGGCATAAAAGTTATTAATATTAGTAAGCTAAAGCATCCAAAGTAAGTGACAGAAAACCAGATAGACATAACAATAATAGCATAGCGACTCAAATTCTTGTTACTTGTTAGTTTAACTTTAATCACAAACTTTCAATGGTAAAGTATACTCTAATCCAAACGGACCTCGATAAACTCATGGTCCACTTGGGTGAACACCAACCATTCGAATGACTTAATAATGGAGAGAAAGGGGGCCCAATGGAGCAGGGCATGACCCAACCTGATGGAGCCCACCATCCCTCCATCAGCAATCAACAATTCATCAAGATGTTGATGACACGCTAGTAGACTATGGTTCCATAGTCCATAAGGATATTATAGGGTACATTCCGTCCAGAAATCGTTTCACCTGTTTTTGGGTTACCTACTGATATATTTTTACACACCAAAAAATTTCTTAAGTTTCTTCTCATCCGGAAGAATATTATGGACTGTTCACTTTGTGATCCTATGAGGGATAAAGCAACACCAAAAGGAACACAAAGCACAATATTCAACACATCAAAACCTCAACACTTTTATAGGAAATAAACAAATTCACAATCATTCCAAAAGAAAACCTAACAAAAAATTAAGCATAGATGCACTCATTACAAAATAAGACCTATAAAAATTTACTCAGAAAAGAAGAAAAATGTGAAGAGCAGAATAGTGGACAAGGATTCGTGTAGCCAACCCCATATAGCTGGGAAATGGCTCTGAAGATGATGACAATGACGAGATGCATGCAATTCATGCAATAAAGAGGGACCACATTAACTATCCAAGAATAAATATTTCTCTCAAAGTTAACATTTCTCAAAAAAAAAAAAAAAATCTCAAATGATAAACAAATAGCATCAAAGAAGCAAAAATTAATTTTAATGAAAGAAGTTCAGATCTACACAGATCGCACTTCAAGAAGATTGCATGAAAAAGCTCACGACACAAAATACAACGACACACCAGAAACCAATAAACAAAAATAAAGCCTTCAGCAATATACAAACATAACATAAAACTGCTCTCGATATACTCGTCGTAATAAAGCTTTATCAAGCAAGAAAGCTAACTATGAGCATTTGACTGATCAAATAGCAAACAACACCAGATTATGATCAGAAACCAAAAAATGAACAAGGTAAGAAAAAAGGCATAAATAATAACCATATTTTACTTTATAAAAATTTAAAAAAAAAAGAGCAAACTTTTTAACCTACTGAAAATCTATTGAAAGCAAGAACAATCAGATTGCCAACGATTGTCAGGATGAGGGAAAAAACAATAACTACAAAGATTACGGCATTAAACAATATGACAGCAACAACAGAATAGGTAATAAAGAAGATCGCGAAATACCACTAAAATTTTTCGATAAATTGGATTACTGATAGAAATAAACGGCCATTAAAGACAAATACAAAGTTTTAAGAAGAAAATGACGCTGAATATAAGATCGGAGAGACAAGGGTGAATGTATTATGAAACAGAACGAGAACAAAAATGTTACAAATGCTAACCAGAGATTTAGGGCAAAACGAGAATAATAACTCAGCAAAAAAATTCAAAAAAACTTACGGATAGGAAATTATGAAATATAATAGAAACAACGAATGAAAACTAAAGAACATCGAATACTGAGAGAGATGAGAATCCATTAACGAAGAATAAGAAGTTTTCAATGGAAAAAGGAACTGAAAGATGGATCAGAAAGAGCATATGCTAATATATAATGAAAGGGGAAAGAAGATACAGTTTCTGTAAAAGCTGACGTGAACCATGGCTTCCTCCGCCTCCGCTCTGGTTTGGCCTCACGCTACGAAGACGAAGGAGAGTGTGGCTTTAGCTATACCAAGCAACCCTAGCTGGCTTTTTAACCTAACGGAGACGCCGGGTTTTAGGTTAGGAAATTTACAAATTTGCCCTTTTAAAACCAGTCATAATCCCTTTGTAGCCAATTATTAACACTAAGGTTGAGATGGCCGAGTTGGTCTAAGGCGCCAGATTAAGGTTCTGGTCCGAAAGGGCGTGGGTTCAAATCCCACTCTCAACAACGGATTTTATTTTTTGGGAATATCTTTTAACTTGTATATCTCATTAGGTCTTTTTTTAAAAAAAATGATTTATTTATTGGGAAAATATCTTACTATCCCATATTTTTAAATGATTTATTTATTGAAAAAATATCTTATTATTTCATATTTTTAACTTCTATATCTCATTAGGTCCAAAAATTGAAAATATTACTATTTTTAAAATAAAAAATAGTTTATTGATAAAATATCTTATTATCCCTTATTTTTAACTTCTATATCTCATTAAACCTAAAAATTGATTTATTTATTAGGAAAATATATTATTATCCCATCTTTTAACTTCTATATCTCATTAGGTCTTTTTTTTCAAAAAAATGATTTAGTGCTCGTGTTCGAGCTCAAGCTAAACCCCTTGGCTGGTAAACTCATCGAAGAGCGAAGAAAAAGAGATGGAGTTTTAGAGAGAATGAGATGAAGTTTCAATATGATCTCATTTTAGAGTTTTTTTGGATCAAAAATTTATAATCAAAAGGGTCTAGGGGATTGTAAGAAAAAAAAAGACGGAGACATTTTTCTTACAAGTAATATTTTCACTTCTTATATCTCATAAGGTATCGAAGTTAAAAATAGGAGATAAGGAAGTATTTTCTCTTATTTATTCTTTTTTTTTTATTCAGTTTTTTTTTTAATTATTTATTTATTCACTTTTTTTTTAATGATTGATTTATTTTTTTACTTTTTTTTATTCACTTTTTTTTTAATGATTTATTTATTCACTTTTTTTTAATGATTTATTTATTCACTTTTTTTTAATGATTTATTTATTCACTTTTTTTTAATGATTTATTCAGTCCTCTTTTAAGGTTTAAACACTTTTAGGTTTAAACACTTTTTATTTTTTAATGATTTATTCACTTTTGGTTTTTAATGATTTATTTATTCACTTTTTTTTAATGATTGATTGATTTATTTCCTTTTTTTTATTCACTTTTTTTTTAATGATTTATTTATTCACTTTTTTTTTAATGATTTATTTATTCATTTTTTTTTTAATGATTTATTCAGTCCTCTTTTAAGGTTTACACACTTTTAGGTTTAAACACTTTTTTTTAATGATTTATTCAGTCCTCTTTTAAGGTTTAAGCACTTTTTTTTAAATGATTTATGCAGTCCTCTTTTACCCTATATTTTCATACGGGTATTTATTCACTGTTTTTTTTAATGATTTATTTATTCACTTTTTTAAATGATTTATTCAGTCCTCTTTTAAGGTTTAAACACTTTTTTTTAATGATTTATTGAGTCCTCTTTTACCCTATATTTTTATACATATGGTTCTAGTGTTTATTTTAATAATTTATTTAGTCATCTTTTATCCTATATTTTTATACATATGGTTCTAGTGTTTAGTCCTCTTAAAATAATATCATGTGATTTGAATGTATATTTATTATATTAGCATCAAACTATTTCATTTTTAAAATTTTCCAAATGGATAAAAATTTGAATCAGTATTATGTGGTCTAAAATTTTATTTCGTTGTTCTTTAACATTTAATTTTGAAATTGCCATGTATATCTTACTTTTTTATGCTTTTACCAAGAGAAATTATTTCACATATTTATATGGAACTAATTTCTACTTTCTAATGCCTCATTTATTTGTTCAATGTTTACTTTCTAAAACTTTTTATGAACATATTTCACAATTTTATTTTGAATCTATTTCATTTTGGCATATATGAATGTATTTCATTTGATGGGTGTGGGGCCTTCTGCACAACTGCTAGAAGAGCGGTGCCGCAACATGACGTCAAGATATTCAATTCCATATACACCCACATATATATGTACACATGTATATATTTTAATAATTTATTCATTTTTTTTAATGATTTATTCAATATTCTTTTACCCTATATTTTTATACATATGGTTCTAGTGTTTAGTTTAATGATTTATTGAATCCTCTTTTACGCTATATTTTTATACATATGGTTCTAGTGTTTAGTCCTCTTAAAATAATATCATGTGATTTGAATGTATATTTATTATATTAGCATCAAACTATTTCATTTTAGAAAATTTCCAAATCGATAAAAATTTGAAGCGGTATTATATGGTCTAAAAATTTATTTCGTTGTTCTTTTACATTTAATTTTGAAATTGCCATGCATATCTTACGTTTTTATGCTTTTACCAAGTGAAATTATTTCACAGTATTTATATGGAACTAGTTTCTACTTTCTAAATGCCTCATTTATTTGTTCAATGTTTACTTTCTAAAAAAAATTATGAAACATATTTCACAGTGTTATTTTGAATCTATTTCATTTTGGAAGATATGGATGTATTTCATTTGATGGGTGTGGGGCCCTCTGCACAGTGGCCAAAAGAGCGGTGCTACAACATGATGTCAAGATATTCAATTCCATATACACGCACATATATATAACATGATGTCAAGATATTCAATTCCATATACACGCAGATATATATATATATATATATATATATATATATGTATGCATGTATATATCTCAATTGAAATCCATTGTATATATAGGAATTTAAGTACCCTTGAGAAATATGTTTTAGAGGAAAATAACAAAATAAAAATGTTCGATGCTTTTACTGATTGAAATCATTTCACGATGTTTGCATGGAGCTACTTTTTGGATTTATTTTTGGTCCATTGTTTTTTAACTATTTCAAAAAAAAAATGATATAGATGTCTTTTGTTTAAAATCCGTGTATGTATATGAATTTAAACTCCCTCACTTGGTTTAAAAGCAATGTATACAATAAGACTATTTTTAATACAAGGACATCGCAACTATTATTGGCGATTAGATGATGACTATTTTTAATACAAAGACATCACAACTATTATTGGCTATTAGATGTGAAATGAGAAGGTTGGGGATGTGTCAGTGACTATGCATAATGTCAAAATAAAATTTTTCGATTGTCATGAAATACTTCAATCCATTAAATATCCAATGGCTAAAAATGATTGCGATCTCATTGTATAAAAGTAAGTAGTCTTGAAATATACAATCCTTGGTTTAAATGGTATCATACCAAACTGGACATGCTACGCGTGTCCATGTTGACATAAAAACTTAGTATTTATTGAAAATGAAAAAAAGTAAAGTGACACTAAAAACAATGCAAATCCATTGTAAAAAGAATATAAGCCTGAAGTATTGAAAGGGTGTTGAGAACTAATACGGGCACCCGCAGATTAAGGTTGGATAATTATTAAGACAATTTATTTTTTTTCCCCGAAAATTTCGCAAACTTTTTATTGCCGATATAAATGACCAAATCCTAATTTCTATATTTTGCCCAATCTCCATTCAAACTCACGTCTGTTTTTAAATTTGATCTAAGGACTCCTAAGTTGCCTCGACTTAGTAAAATGAACCTTAAATCGAGAATATAACTTTATTGAACTTACAAAAATCCCTTGATGTTCTAATAGTTGGCATTTTTGTGGTTTGTGTAAGGTGTCACCTTTGAAGAACCAAAGTAACACATCTCCGATTTTTTTTTAAAAGATGTATTTTGGTGCCCAAAACCTTACAATAACCTAAAATTCTATTTTCATCCTTAATTATGAATTTTAGAGCCTAAAAAAATAGTGTACGTGGAGCAATGAACACTTAAAAGTTTTGAACATGAGCCATCTAGAATCTAGATAACATTATTATTATACATTATTAAACCAGAGTTAAAGGAGACACGTGTTGTGAAAATAAGAAAAGGCCTATTTTTATAGAGATTGTAGGACACACTTTCATCTTTAGGGAAAGAAAGAGACAGAGTACACACGTATTGTAGCTTCCCAAATTTTAAGAGAGAGATATGTGCAAACGAAATAACAATCCACGAAACAATAAAGAATAATAATAAAAAAAAGAGACAATAAACCACAACGGAAAGATATACATTGTTTAACAACGTGCCTACATGAGATGAGAGCTTGTTACTGGTAATGGAAAATAAGGTTCCAATAGCTCCCTTTCTCACCCCTTCTTTTCTGTATTACAAAAAAATGTCACAGGCAGATGATACAAATTACCGAAATATCCCATATAAAGTCCCTTTAATGGCTTTCTGGAGTCGTCTTTTTTACTCCACATTGACAGATATATTTCTTCATAATACAAAACATCAATCATCAATACGTAGTGGAGAGAACTTCTCTTCATTAAGTGTCAATTCTCTCTTTGCAGCATAATTTTTCCTCTCTCTTTGCTAGAGGTTTTATCTAATATTTCCCAAAAACCACTCCTTCCTTTTTGATAGATCTTTTTCTCCAATCTTTTCCAAGAATCAGGTGCGTGGTATCTCAAACTTCTCTCTCTTTGTTGCATTGTTTTCTTTCTCTCTTTAACAGACGTTTTCTCTAATATTTCCTAATAACCAAGTACATGGTATGGAGTTTCAGTTTGTTCCTTGCTACATATATGAATTATTTGGGTGTTTGTATTTTGGTCAATATCTACCGATCTCTCTCTACAATTCATTGCATGTAATTGTTGTAGCTTGCAACGAAATTTGAGAGAGAGAGAGAGAAACCCACAATTTGAGAGAGAGAGAGCTTACCACGTGAGTCTCCTCTGAGAAGAGTGCGTGAAGAAGCCCAAACAGAGCAATCGGGGGCTGATGAGAGAGATCGGAGGAAGTTGGTACTTCACCAATTCCAACTACAAAGATCTTGGCATGGCCAAATGAGAATAAGATCAGAAATGTCATCGTGGTTGCATATTGAAGTATGGATTCGATTGAGAATTGGAGGTGCGTAATCAGGTAATGGAGATGAAGCC